TGAAGACGATTATTTGATTCAAACGATGATCGAGTGGGTTATTAGAGTAAACCACTATAGTGGTGCGTCGTTCAGGGAGATGACATCCGCGGAAGCCACTATAGTGGCGCGTCGTGCCTAAAAGGTTAAACTTTAACGCCTGTTTTGGCATCGGCTACTATACGAATATGTTTCTGCGCCCTGCCGTCGCAAAGCGCGCATTCTGTCGAACCGTGCAAGTGGATCCCGATTTGCAGAATGCGATACGAAAGCGCGAGCATTGCTTATCGGCGTTTGTTTTATTGAAATGGACGACGATGGGAACAGATCTTTTGATATGAGAAGTAAATTAGTAGTCGAATTAGTTATGATTATGCAGCCGCGAGGTCGAAAGATGAAGATATCATTATTATTAATATTATTAATTATAAATATTTTTATGTACAATAGGTCGAACGGAAAGTTCTAGTCGAATCAGTTATGATTAAGCAGTCGCGAGGTCGAAAAATGAAGATATCGTTATTATTATTATTATTATTATTATTATTATTATTATTATTATTATTATTATTATTATTAATTTTAAATGTTTTTACGTACAATAGGTCGAAAGGAAAGTTCTGTCTGCGAAGCGAAAGAATATAATCGATTTTTCATACATTTAATATTTATTACAGCTTTATAATGGAAACGAAGAAATAATATTTATCGTGCAATATAATTTCCGTCGTGACCTATGACCTCTTGCCAACGCGACGGCAATTCGTAGAACACCATTTTTGAGAAAATATGTCTGGAACGATTATGCTCGTACGTTCTGAAACTTGAAACGAAATTATTGAACAGATCTAATATTAGATCTAATATTTTAACCCTTCGCACTCGAAGCCGTTTTAACTGTAAATTGCATTTCGACAAAATGCATTTCATGCATGTGAAATTGAGAGTCTCGCGGTAACTTATACAACTAGTACAACTTTTAACAATTTTTTAAACCTAAACTTTGTTAATATAAAAATTATCTTGGAACGTGATATAATAATCTTAGTGGTGCTTCAGAGTCACACCAATCGAGTGCAAAGGGTTAATTTGAAACATAAGCGTCGTCTCAGCGTTGTCCTCTTCGAAGCCAAGATTTACCGTCACCGAACGGAAACTCGCTCCAGAAATATGCACGGTGCGCGTGTTTTCTGTATATACGTTGTTCCAAGTCTTAAATAATAACTGTGCCGAATAAAACAATCGATGCTCTAATGTAACAAGTATATTTACATTTTTAATTTAAAAAGACGTACACAATTATGGGTGACATAGGTATTTATATAATTACAAAGCCTAACGATTAAACGTTTGATATAATTAACAACGAGACTAAAATGATTAAAATATAATAATATGTAAAAACTAATAATATAATTCTGTGCGATATAATTGAAAGCAAGGATCTATACAAAGGCCAACATCGCAATCTTTGCACTCGTACCGCGAATCCGTTCTTTTATCATTTCTGCTACAAATTACACATCCGCGTCTTCTGTATACACTTCGTTTCGATGCCGCATATATGCGGCGCCCGTACCCACAGGTCGTCGAGTGGATGCTGCATATATGCGGCGCTCGACGCGAAAGGGTTAAGGAATCGGTCGCTCCGATATCGAATTTCCGAAAACCGATCGACTCGCGTCAAAACTCCGTAGAACAATTAATTGCAAAGATACGTCGAACGGAATGAAAGAAACGGAAGCGTCGACGGTCCTAAGTTGCGTTTTCGCGCGTAAGGTCCGCCGTCCCTCGAGAATACTCGAAATACCCTATTGATTAATCACGACCGGCTCCTCGACTATAAATAGTTGAACTTGGCAGGGCCCGGCGGTTTGAGCAAGAGAGATACGTTCCGGCGACGTTACCGCGTTTTAACCGTTTTCGCGAATCCCGCTCCCGGAAATTCAAGAAGGTCGTTGACGATAATGCGTCTTCAGAAGAAGCCCATTCTACCCTCTACTTAATTTAAAAAGCGCGGACCGTTTTTGTTGCTTTATTAATGCCCGCCGCTTTAAAACGTCTGCAGTCCTGCAGGCCAATGGTGTTTTCCTTGAACGATTTATTTGCGAAGTGAGTAGATAAACAGCGGCGGCGCTGTTACCCTCCTTTAAATAAAAGGATATTCATTTTCGTGACCTCGTTCCGCCGGCACCGTCGCAAAAAGTACCATCTGTTGAAGACTGTATTATGTAAATCGCGATTCCTGAGTGACAGATGGATCGCATCGGCTTCATAGATACCGATGCATCCGCGGATTTTATGAGGTAATCCGTCTCCTCGCACGGTTATTAATCTTCGCATGATCAGAGTCGTTGGTTTTGTAATAGTGCTATAATGGGCTGTGCGATAATTATGGTAGTATACTATATGATACTATATTATAGTGTACGTATATAGTATTATATGTACTATATTATATGATACTATATTATAGTGTACGCGCGTATATAGTACTATATGTACTATATTATAGTGTAATATTATACTATATTATATGATACTATATTATAGTGTAATATTATACTATGTTATATGATACTATATTATAGTGTAATATTATACTATATTATATGATACTATATTATAGTGTAATATTATACTATGTTATATGATACTATATTATAGTGTAATATTATACTATATTATATGATACTATATTATAGTGTAATATTATACTATGTTATATGATACTATATTATAGTGTAATATTATACTATATTATATGATATTATATTATAGTGTAATATTATACTATATTATAGTGGGATAAATAAATAGCGCAAATATGTCACGTAAATATATGACAATACAGTAAATTCTTCTCCAATTTTCCTTCAACTTGTAAACAAAAATAGACAATTTTGAGAAGCAATTTTTAGAGTTTCTGATTGTCAATAATTATAAAACCGAAGTGCAAGGCTCGAATAATCGTATCTCCTCTTCACAAATTGTCTAATTTTGTTTACAAGCTGAAGGAAAATTCGGGGGGGGGGGGAATAACTGTTCATAGTTATTTAACAGGTTATTACACAAAATCACCATCATGTGTCTAACTTGTCCAAAGTATTGCAAGGTTATTAGAAGTATTAAAAATATTAAACCGCAAATTATTAAAAGTATTAAAAATATTAGACCGCTAAGTATTGAAAGTATTAAAAATATTAGACCGCAAAGTATTAAAAGTATTAAAAATATTAGACCGCAAAGTATTAAAAGTATTAAAAATATTAGACCGCAAAGTATTAAAACTATTAAAAATATTAAACTACAAAGTATTATCGGTAATTTTCTAGAAATTCGAAATTGGATCGAAATTTGACTGGAACTCTTTACCCGCGCGTTCACGATTTCTGCAAACGTTAATATTTTTTAGTATTCTTTTATCAAAGGAAAGGTCTCGTATCCTTTTCCAAACTTTTCTGGACTAACTTCGCGCCGCTCCTACGGGAGACGTTTGAAGTTCGAATCGAAGAAAACCGCAAATACTTTTGCGGCAGTCTAACGATCGAAGTACACGTATTTTCTCATGGAGGAGTTGGCGCTGTAACTGCGTCGTGCCCAACGTGTTCAGACAAACGAGGTTCCAACGTTCATTAACAACTTCAAACCGCGTTATCTGATTAGTGTGGGTATTACTGCGGACGCTCTAAATACTGCGGTATTTTATGAAAGTAATAAAATCTATATATATAAAGTTGGCATAACGAATTTTCTTTTCAACGTACGCGGACTTCTGCGATTCCTAGGATCAAGATATTCTCTCTCTCTCTCTCTCTCTCGATCCTAGGAATAGCATATATATCTCTATACATATATATTATATATATAAATTATAATATAATCTCATATAATCTCTCTCTCTCTCTCCCTCTCTCTCTTTCTCCCTCTTTCTCTCCCTATATATATATATATATATTCTCTCTATATGTATATCTCTCTCTCTCTCTCTCTCTATATATATATATATATATATATATATATAGAGAGAGAGAGAGATTATATGAGATTATATTATTATATATATATAGAGATATATATGCTATTCCTAGGATCAAGATACATATATATAGACAGAGAGAGAGAGAGAGAGAGAGAGAGAGAGAGAGAATGTCTTGATTCTAGGAATCGCTGCATATATCGCGTTTATGCGCGTATATTTAAAAGAAAATTCGTTATGCCAATCTTGACACGCAGTAATCGGTACGTCCGCAGTATTCGGCTCGCAGTAATAGGTACATAACCGCGGTAATATATGCACACGTATGCTTTCTTTACAATAACCTTTTTAATGAAATTCGTGCTTCCAGAGCACGAATATTTTTAGAAATGCTAGAAAAGCTCAATATTTTTAGAAAACTAAGTATTCGAGCTAAAGAACAACAGGCATAGCTCAAGCTGTCAATTCATTATCGCAAAAGGTCTCATTTTCTCCGTCAAAGTTCGCCTTCGCCGAGAAACCGCAGTAATACCAACACTCGCTCCACTTGACCGTCAACTCGCCAAGTCGACGATGGACTCCTCCGAGCAGCCATTTCCCAAACACTTGCGACCGTCAACAATCGAATAGAAATAGACCCCCCCAAGCCTCCATGTGCCGTTGTCCGCATACCGACAAACAAAATTAGGGGTTACACCGACCCTAATAATTGTCCCAAAAATCTCGGTGGCTCGGTGACCGATGAAGTAAGTAAACAAAAAAAGCAAAACAGCAATAATAAGACTGTCGAATCGGCGCGGCGCGGCGTTCCAGCGTCCGCCGGCCAAGATTCACGAGGTCATGATCATCGTCGCCGAAACTCCCCGGCTTTCGGCGCTCCGCGGAACGGAGCGAGACGGAGCGCGATGGTGGGGACAGAGACGCGGTGGCGGTCGGGGAACGGTCACGGATTGGTCGGTGGGTGGCGCGCGGGTGCTCGGCGCTCTGACGTCACGGTTCGCCCAGTTTGAAATCGTCCCGGCCGTCAGTCGCGCGCCGAACGTCGAACTGAATGCATGCGGTGTTCCTCGTGTTTCCCTTCACGACCCTCCGAAGTATCCACCGGATGATCCGGAGTGCTGGTTAACGAACGGCGGAGCCGGTGGTGCGCGGTTTTGATCGCTTGGAACAGGCGGTTCTCTTCCGAGAGAGCGTCGACTATCGTCGTCGTCGTCATCGTCGGGTGTACTTTGTGCGAGAAGTTTCGTCTCGGTGATCGACGCCCTCGCCGCGCGTCGACGACTCGCCGTTGACGAGGAGCGGAAGCGATCGTTCGTCCGGATATTTGCAATTTCCGTCGATCGACGGAATGCCGTCGCGCGCGATGCCCCGCGGTGAGACCGCGCGAGTGCCGATCTGATCGGATCGCGGGACCACGTGGTTAGTGTCCGGATCAGGTGACAGTGTTGAAACGCGCCTTGTGCACGCCGCGTACAGGCTCTCTCGCGAGTCGGCAGAGCGGCGATATATCATCGTGGTCGCGCGCGCTTCGCCGTCGCGATGCGTCCTCGCGCGACAGCTTAGAAGGAGTGGTGGGGGAGAATCGATCGACCGATCGGTCGGGGATTGACTGCGGGAACACGACGCGCCGCCGAGCGGATCGGGAATCGCGCGCGAAGTCGGCCGACAGTGGTTCTTCTAATATGCGTGTCGCGGGGAAACGGACCGACGACACGCTCGCCGCCGGTTCTCCGACTTTGACGAATTCGCGCGTGCCCCCCCTCGAGGCCTGACTCCCTCGCGACATTTCGTCGACCGTCGAAAGTGTTCTCCTCGTTTTCGTTCGGTATTCGACCGCCGGTGACGAAGCGCGGGTGATGTGCTGGTGCCTGTGTTGCGTCGACTGAGAGAGAAAGAGAGAGAAAGAGAGAAAGAGAGAGAGCAGTGCCCGGTGTGCCGGATGCCAAGACGATAATCGTTCCTGTCTTCGAGGCCCTTGCGACCACCGCCGTCATGATCGCGATCCTTCTGCTGTTCCTCCTGGGCCGACCGGCTGCGTGGGCGGACCATTTGGGTGAGCTTTTCGAATCCGGCGAACACTCGTTGCTTCTTCTCGACTTTGCCGCGAGTTCTAGGAGTTACGATGCGATCGATCGATTATTTCATCGTTCGCACTCGAGCGGCGACACCGGAGCGCCGAAAATAAGGATGATAATGTTTGTTCCTTTAACGGAGCGAAGCCATTGTTACGCGATACGAAAGCACGATAGTGAGCGGAGTGCAGCGAAGCACGGAGGTGGAGGAACGTTGCGACTAGACTGCGGATTTTGTGATACAAATTTATGATAAAAATAGGCGAGATACAAAATACCGATGACATTGGGAGAATTCGATTATGCTGTTGCACTATCTTTGAGTTATTAAAATTATTAACCCTTAACGGTGCAATGCCGCCATACACGCGGCAGAAATCAGTAAAACCGTAAAATCTGGCAGGAAACATTGGAAGAATAGGCACGATTGTTTCGATGAAAATATATCAACGAAGTTTTATTTAACACGTTGAATGCCACGGGGGTCACCGGTGACCGGCACTTAACTTGGCGGTGACCGGCGCGCCCAAATTGATAGAAATATATATAATGTAAAACAAATGTCAATATCTAAAATTTTGTATTATTACCATCGTCGATTCAAACAGTGACCCCTGTCGCAATTAGCATGTCAAACATGCTTATACACTGTAACTTATTTATTGCGGATAATATTTCAACATTATATGTATCGCATAAAAGAAAATTCACTGTGGCGCCACGGACGATTTCTGTAAAACCGGCGTGGCATTCAACGCGTTAAAAAATGAATATCTCTTCTCTATATTTGATACAAGAATTTTCAGTAAAAAGTTTCTCTTCGTCTGAAAAACAGTCTAAACTTGGCAATGTGTAAACTGGAAATAAATAGTTTTGGTCCTCTAAGAGTTAAGAGAAGGGGTTCGTTCTTTTCAAGCGTCCGTTTCTTACGATCAATGTGGACAATTTTTATTTTGCAATCAAGATCCGCAGTCCAGCGTGTCGAACGATGCGACGACATGATATAACGAAGGAAAATGAAGTAACGGGAATCTTCAGTTATCTGAAGATGTTAGACGATTTAACCCTTTGCATTCCGCTGTCCCCTCTCGTGGGACATCGTAATTCTAGCATATCACTCGGACGTCCACTCTCGTGGGACATTAAAGTTTATTAGCGATTACGGAGAATTGAGTTATTTCAGCGCAACTTTTTCAGACATGCGTGTTTCCCTGAAGTTTTCTCTTGAAATGGCACAAGAAATCAAATCAAAATATAGTATAATTACTAAGTATATACAAGAAATGTGAGCGGGTTTTGACGAGAACGCGAGAGGCGTGCTCACGACGGTCCGAGCACTTCAAAGGCGCCATTTGAAAAGAGCGATAACGCAAGTTTGTAGAAGAAAGATCGGTATGCGAACATAGCACGCACTGTATAGTGAGATTTATAATCATAAAATCTGGGGGAAAAGATTTTCAAAGCTGAACTCGGTCTGGTTTGAAGCGTCGAGCGGTATAGATAGATCTAACGAGTGAGAAAATCGGAAAAGTGATTCTTCTCTTGGTAAATAAATTGTTTGGTAAAAGTTTTTTTGGTAAATATCATCTTG